TTCCTCAGACCTTTTTGAACCTACCAGCTACAGTGGAACCTGCCAAAGTTGTGACAGTTAAGTTAACCCCCTGCAACCAGACTCCCTGGGTGTCTAGTGGGAGGTAAAACAATCCACACAACAGTTTGGCAGTGTTGCCATGTACGAAAGTGCTTTCCAGATACCTGGAAGTACTAAGCCACCTCCTCATCAGCTCATGTGATAAAGGTGACTAAAGGGCAGGGCCGAAGTGGAACCCCATTGGCTTTTCATTCAACATGCTTCATAAGCTGAATGAACTGCTGAAGAATGCTTGCCTCTTATCCTTTAGTGATGGAAACTCCGCTTTGCATTATTGAACAAAAAGTGGTTAGATTCTGGACTGGCCTTACCATGAGGCGAACTGAGGCGGCCACCTCAGATGCCAGACTGTGGGGGAGGTGCCACTAGGACCCAGAGTGTAGAAAATTGTGTCTGCTGCTGGTGCGAATGTATTCTTTCTGCTCTAGATGCAAAGTACCATGAGAGGAGTAGAACAGGAAGAAGGCAGAATTGAGACCTTTTAAAGTTTTTGCCCAAGCGAGGGGGCAAAGGGGCATCATTTGAGCTCCCCGCCTCAGGTGCCAAAATGTTGGCCATCCCTGGGTAGATTAATTAAACAGCAAAATTTGTTGTTCAGTAACAGGAAGGCAACAATTAATTACATTTTAGGGAGATGCTAAAAAATCGCATGCTGAGAATTCATTTATCTTTATATAAAATGGTGGGTTAATACATTTTCTCATTCAAAGAGTTCATGCTTTTTAATGCTTCTTGGTGGAAAATGTTTGTTTATACCATACATTTCCAGGAAAAAAATATTATCAAATATTTAGAATTTGAATTGAAAGGCAGCTGATATATGAACATTGGCAACCTCAATTAACATCCTAGATGGCAGACAGATCCATACAGAATGACAGATTATTTCTGGAGTAATTCAGTGTCAAGCAGGCAGCAGTAGTGCAGAGCTATATGCTCCCATCCACCCAAACAAAACAGGGGCTTCTGTTTGAGACTGTACCATTTTTAGTTTAAGTACAAGATTTCCAAACTATTTGTGGCTTCAAATGCATCCTGCTGTTTCTTGCAGTACAAAGCTAAAATGAGTTATTGGGATCCTGAATATACTGAACTACAGACCTGGTAAAACACACTTGATTTTTGAGGGTTTTCACTTCTGTTTTACAAAATTCTTATGTGGTTTAAGTTTTCCAATGTAGTTGTACAGTTTAAAGCCTCTGTTCTGAGATTAACTGTGCCAAATTCTGTTACATGATTGTGGTAGCAACCTATCTACCTTACAGCCTGTCCATAATTTTCACTTTTGTTAAGAAGGAAAAGAGCTATAAAGTGTTCAGTGTCAACCTATTCAAATTGCTAACATTTCATTAAAACAGGTGATAATAAGCTGTCTGCTATTTAGAAATTCAGTGATATACAGTAATACTGAGCTATCAGCTTTACAAAGGCATTTTTTTCAGGTTGAATGTTATTAATTAGTTTAGCAGGTATCTCTAGAAAACACAGTTGTACAACACTAGGGGTAAAATCCTGGCCCTATTGAAGTCCAGAGCAAATCCTCCGTGTTTTCAATCGAGTTGGGATTTTGCACATGGGAGGCATAGGGCTATCTTTTATTAATATATAGAAATAACAGTCAGACACATGGAAAAGGGACTATCTTGTGTTTCTTCATGTGCTTGTATTTTTATGTGGAAGAGGCTCAAAGAACTTGGCTTATTTAGCTAAAAGAAGGCTGAGGAGAGCTATGATTGTTCTCTCTCTCTATTCATCAGATGGATAAATATAAGAAAGTGAGAAACATTATTTGAGTTAAGTGACAATGTGGAAACAAGAACAAATGTCTATAAACTGGCCATCTATAAGTTTTAGGTTTAAAATTAGGTGAAGGTTTCTACCCATCAGAGGAGTGAAGTTCTGCAGCTGCCTTCCAAGGGGGCAAAAATACTAACCGGGCTTCAAGACTGAGCTAGGTAAGTTTATGGAGAGAATGGTATGATGATATTGCCTACAATGGCATTTGGCCCACTAGTGACTGCCGGTAGCCAAAATCCCCAATTCCTGGGGACAGGACACTAGATGGCGAGGGCTCTGAGTTATTAAGGAGAATTCTTTCCCAAGTATCTGCCTGACTGGTGTTGATCACATGTTCAAGATCTAATTAATTGCCATACATGGGTCAAGAATGAATTCCCCCTTCCCCATCCCCAGGTCAGATTGGCAGAGACCCTGGGAGCTTTTCATCTTCTGCAGCATGGGGCACGATAAGGGTATTAAAACACGGATAATCAGCTGATGGAGTAGTTGATGGGGGCGGTTCGCTTTCCCTGCTGTGACTCTGCAGTTTAAATGTAGTAGGAGTCAGGCTTCTGCCCGACTTCTAGTACATTTAAACTGCAGAGCTGCAGCTGGGTTAGCTCCCCTGTGCGGCGCAAGCCGGGACTAAGCAGTACCTGCTCATGCCACCCTGGGAGCTAACCTCACTGCAGCTCTGCCTTTTAAATGTAGTAAGAGCTGCTAGGCTCTTACCACATTTAAAAGGCAGAAGCGCAGTGGGGAACTGGTCCCCAGTCTCTCGCTGCGCCTCTGCCTCCCCTACCCTCCCCCCCCCCCATGGAGACAGTGCTGAGGGAACCAGCTTTTAAGCCTTTGATAGAGGCAGCAAAGGGGGAGAGGGGAAGCGACTAGACTAGTCAAGTATTGACTCAACTACCTGATAAGCCTAGGCTTATCGGGTAGTTAGCTATTCGACTAATTGCTTACATCCCTAGGGTGCAAGTCACTTGCAGGATTAAACTAAAGTAAACGGTGGATTTTCTCTAGCATGAAGTGTTTAAATTATTCTTTGAGGACTTCAATAACTGAGTCAGAATTTAAAGGTCTATTTCAGGAGTCTGTAAGGTTCTGTGGCCTGCAACTGGCAGGAGGCCAGACTAGATCTAGTTCACAAGGATCCTTTCTGACTTTAAAGTCTCTGAGTCTGTGATTCAAGGTGGTTAATTGTTTGGTCAAAAAGATACATTTTCCTCCGTCCTATTCTCATAACTACTTACAACTTTACCACAAAATCAGTATAGAAATTCCCAGAACAGTGGTCCGCATAGTTCAGATGATACTGGCTAGTGGAGGATGCTTCAAAGGAAGAAGCAAAAATACATAGTGGACAATGATAGAATAATTTTCACATTAAGAATATTTATTTCTAACCATTTTAGTCAGTGATTGGTGTATGCCATGAAGATAGGTGTATTTCCTATCTTATATGTGTTTATGGAATTATCTATCATCTGAGCCTGTTCTCATTATCCATGTAATACAATTATTGTTCTGATTATTTGCACTGCAATAGCATGCAGAGGTCCCAGTTGAGATGATGGTACATTTTATACATAGGTACATATGTTCATATATGTAGAATCTCATTCCCAGTGATCTTACCATTGTAAGTAGGCTAAGGGAGATAGGAAGGATTAAAAAATATATATTCTTTTCCACATTATATGGATAGGGAATTGAGGCATCGAGAGCATAAGTGAAAATCAAAGAAGATGTATATACCACAGCCAAAAATAGAATCCTGGTCTGCTTAGTCCTGATGAACCACTTCAGCCACAAAACCAACCCTGCTCTCTCCATTGTGCAATACACTATAAATGGCTACTCCTTCTTTAGGCTTCTGCTGAACTCTTAAAGTCAAGATCATCTTTTACCGATGAGGTCCACAGGTTCATTATGCATTGTATGAAGAAGTATTTTTTTAATCAATTTACAATTTGTTACCATTGAATTTAATTAGATGCCACCTTGCAGAGAGAGGACAGATGATAAAAAGTGTTTAATTGGCCTTCTTTATAACATTTGGTTTAATTTATTGTATATATCTATCTCATATTTATTTATTAATTTCCACTCTAAACTAAACAGTATCAATTTTTTCACTCTTTCCACATATAAAATTAATGTCTCTAAACATTTTTGTCACTCATCCATTGAACTTTGGGGGAAGGGAAGGTGAGAGAGATGGTGAATGAAGTTTAGATCATGATCAGTCAAACCCCCAAAATATTCCTTTCCTGAAATGGACAGGAGCTTTTAAGCTATTTTATAGTTTCATATTTAGGAATTTCAAGTGTAAAGTTTCCCAGTCAGATCAGATTGTTATGATTATAACTCATTATTATTATTTTACTTGATATGAAATGTTGCTACTTTTCTTTATATTATATCTTCTCAGTATGCTGGATTTTTTTTTCTTGCTCAAAATGGCAATAGAAAGGGCTTCTACAAAAGCATTTAACATAATTTAATTTAAAAATCTCCGAAGAGGCTTTTATCATTTATCAATATAGGAATTACAATCAACCACATGGAAAAGGAAGTGGAAGAATTGATTGCATTTTAATAGTTAGTGTGTCTGAAGCAATGGACTTTGGGCTTTTCTTATTAGCTTATCAGCAACAATATTCTGACATATCTGGCATTCTAGAGCTTGTGAGGCTATATTCTGAACAGCTTAGGGGTAGAAGAAGCAAGTAGAAAGATTATTAATTGTACCTTTGTATGAAAGAGTTTTATTAGATTAAGCGAGGTCTGGAAAAACGCCCAGCAATTGCTTTGTACAGGTCATTTTGCAGTGCTGTAATTTGGAATCAAATCATGTCTACTATTAATGGTAAACCAGTGGAGAAAAGCTGTTATGATTCAATGCCATGGAAATATTAGTTGGATTGTATATTGCTGATCAAGGACACAAACATTTTTCATCTCATGCTTGATGTTTTGCTCCTTCAGCCACAAGCTGCCACATTGAACAGAAAAAAAACCTCCAGTGGCCTTCAGAACCAAGTGTGAACTGCATGCTAAGTGTGCATTATCAATTAACTATTTAAATTATCTTGGCCAATTATTTAATATCAGCTTCTAAAAATATAAACATGTCCCCTTTTTTTCTCCCACAGTCTCCAAACGTCCACAACTATCCAGACATGGAAGCTGTACCCTTGTTGCTAAATAATATGAAGGCAGATCCCCCAGAGGATTCGTTATCTACGGACCATTTCCAAACACAAACTGAACCAGTGGACTTGTCAATAAACAAAGCCAGGTCATCCCCTACAGCAGCCTCATCTTCACCGGTTTCCATGACAGCCTCAGCCTCCTCTCCTTCTTCTACTTCAACTTCTTCTAGTCGGCCAGCTTCCTCCCCTACAGTAATAACATCAGTATCTTCAGCGGCATCTGTGCCATCAGTATTAACTCCAGGCCCTCTTGTGGCCTCTGCATCTGGTGTTGGAGGCCAGCAGTTTTTGCACATAATCCATCCAGTACCACCCTCAAGCCCCATGAACTTACAGTCCAACAAAATGAGTCATGTGCACCGCATTCCAGTTGTGGTGCAGTCGGTACCTGTAGTCTACACAGCTGTGAGATCACCTGGAAATATGAACAACACTATAGTAGTACCGCTGTTGGAGGATGGGAGAAGCCATGTTAAAGGTAAGAAAATATTGGCTTTGCATATCCTACGCTTAGTTGAAACCGATGCATATCAGGAGCCATAAGCTTGGCTGATCAACATTGTAAAAGCATAAATTAACTTGTGGTAGCTGAATGATAGTTCTTTTGAAAATGCTATTAACTTTAAAAACCTATTTTTTCATCGAGTTATTTTACCCCTAAGCTTAAAACCTAAAGAACACTTGGGGCAGATTTATTCCTTCATTAAGGTCAATAGAGTGGCATGGGAAATAAATGTAATATTTGAGTGAATGGCATGGAAATTAGGAAATAGAAAGATGGAAGAGTAATAATAGCAAGCCACTCAGAAGGACAGGGAGAAAGCAACTAGTTGGAATGGACATAAGAAAGAAAAAGAAGTGAAGCAAAGGAGAGAGAGAGGTTCAATTTGACAACAGTCCTGTTGCAGGAATATGAGCAGGAAAGATCTCCAAAGTCCAGGTCAGTCAGGGGTGCTGGTCCCTGTATAGTGGACATGCTGTGAGTCATTGAACGAAACTGCATAGGATAGAAACTATTTAAAGACAGGGAATGTGGTAGCCATCTGAGCACCTGCATTCCAGAACAGTGACAGGTGCAGAGTGAAAGGTATAGAGCCAGGTTTCATTCAGCCTACAGAGGGCGAAAGGGACCCTGCGTCAGATTGTTTCTGTTAGAATGAATAGAAGAATGACAGGAGAAAACGGGGAATATGAATAGTGCAAATCAGTTTTATGGAAATAGAACCCACGAGGCAATATGAAAATGTGAGAGAATGCAGGAGAAAGGTCTCCAAAGAGGAAGTAAATGAGAATGGAGAAGAATTAAAGATTTGTAAGGACAAAGGAAGAGAACAAAAAGATGGCACTGAAGTTACAGGAAAGGAGGAAATATCAGAGATTTCGAGAGTGGAAGAAGAGTAATTGTGATGAGCTGTGGGGAGGAAGGGAAACAGGAGAAGGGTGCAAGGGGAAGAATCCATAAAATAGATATGCCTGGATACAATGACAAGAAGTTAGTGGCAATGGTGGGAACATGAGGGAGGCTGGCACCAAGTATTGTTGCATGTTGATAAGAAGAACATAGACACATCTCTCCCCTCCCCACAAAATGAGCTGTTTCTCCAAACAGAAGGGGGGAGGAGGTATTAATAGCTAATCACACTTTTAGGGCGTATGAGGCAGAAAAGCATTTAGCATTTTGCTTTATAACATTACTATTACTTAATAAAAAAAATCATGTCTTCAATCCCAAGGGTTTGTCTCTTTTATCTCTTCTGTCTGTTTTTGGTGTAATGGTGAGGTTTTATGTTTTTAGTAGCATCATGTTGTTCATAAATCTGCTTTTACCCTCCCCTTGCCTCAGTCTCCTAGTGTTAGTGTGGAAGTTAACCAATCAGTCCGCTTGCAGAAATGGAATTTATCCTCTTTATAGATGCAGAACATGCAAAACTAGCATAGAATGTATCAGAGTTTTTTTCTGAGACTGGAAATGATGAAGTTTGAAGACTTTTTATTATATTTTATACAATGACATCATTTTAGGGTCCTATGCCTTTATGTACAAAAAATATAAATGAAAGCAGCATGGTGCAACGTACTGTAAAACATTATAAAACTGTAAAATGAATAATATTTATCTGCTGTTTAGTTTTGGACTTATGCATTGGGATAGAGCTAAAATCTGTTCTTGATTTTGATGGGAATTGTCCTAAGATACAGAAACTGTATCACTTCAGAGGTGATAACTGGCAGTGATTCCAGTCTCATCTGTTTGTGGGAGTGGAAACTCACTACTCCAGTTCACCAGCAAAATTCTAGAATTTAGTGTACTGTAGGGATTTCAGCCCGCAAGCTTCAGATGAAGACATATTGAGCTCCCTTGACAACCTCCCCTTTGTGCTATTATTGGCAGAGATCATTACCCAGCAACACTGTACCTCTTAATGCACAGCTACAGAAGAAGAAAGGATTAAGCTGTCCTTTAATTTTTTTCTCGGCAGCTGCCCCCCTTCTGCTGTCATTGGTACCTCTGGCAGAAATGTACAAGTTAATTTGAATAATTATATTAAAAGGATAATAGTGACTATCCACAATAGGCACCCGTCCTTTGTTAGCTCTGTCTGGTGTGCTTTCTGTCTTTGTTATGTAAGCCAATACAAATAACATAAAGGTAATAAACTATATATAATTACCCATTGGGGTGAAGAACCTTTTTTTTTCTATCAGGGGCCACTGACCCACAAAAAAATACAGTCACAGGCCACACACCGCCTCACAGGGTGGGGGCACGAAGGCTCATGGTTTCCCCTCACAGTGGGGTGAGCCAGTACTAGTGACTCTAGCCCTGTCAGGGGGCACAAACACTCGACTGGAGTGATAAATGAGGCGTTCGGTGTGTGAGGGGGCTCTGGGCTGCCGCAGGGGTTTGGGTGCAGGTGCAGAGCACAGGCTGAGGCAAAGTGGTTTGGAGTGCAGGCGTGGATTCAGGGCTGAGGCAGAGGGATGGGTTGTGGATCTGGGAAGATATTATGGCATGCGGGGGAGGGGGTTCTGATGTGGGGCAGGAGGGTTAGGGTAGGGGTACAGGATCTGGGGCAGAGTTGGGGTGTGGGAAGAGGTTCTAAAGTGGAGCAGGGGATTGGGGTGGGGATGGAGGGACTAAGAGGGAGTTTCGGTGCTGGAGGAGTTTCTTATCCAGTGCAGGGTTTTCAGGCTGTGGGCTCTGGCTGGTCTGCACTAGGGATGTAAGTGACTACTTGACTAGTCAAATGCTTATCGGATAGTCGACTAATGATTCAACTAGTTGCTCCCACACACACCTTGCTGCCTCTATCAGAGAGCGGCACCAAGGGTGGAGAGCAGGATCCAGTGCTGGGGAGAGCCAGCTTAAAAGCCGGTTCCCCCAGCACCGTCTCTGTGAGGAGAAGTGGCAAGAGCACAGCATGGAACTGGAGGTGCTTCCGCCTTTGAAATGTAGCAAGAGCAGGACTCTTGCTACATTTCAAAAGCAGAAGTGCTGCAGGGAGCCTGGGATGAACTGGGGACTCAAACAGCTCCCCACTGGCCCTGTGCTCCCTGCTTCTGAAATGTACAAGAGCCCCGGGAGGGCTCTTGCACATTTCAAAAGCAAAGCGCTGCTGGGAGTGGGTGGCCAGCGGGGAACTCAAACAGTAAGAGTTCTCAGGGCTCTTATACATTGCAAAAAAAGGGAGGACGGGGCCAGCGGGGGTCCCCGTTGATTGAGTCCCCGTTGGCCATGCTCCCAGTGGCACTTCTGCCTTTGAAATGTAGCAGGAGCCGGCAAGAGGCGGAGGAGCCCTTATCGACAAATTGAATAGTTGATGCAAATTACATTGACTATTCAATTAGTTGATTAATCTAAATTTAACATCCTTGGTCAGCACTTACCTAAGTTGGCTCCCAGTCAGTGGTGCAGTGGGGCTAAGGCAGGCCTACCTCCCTGCCTGCCCTGGCCATTCCTGGAAATGACTGCCATGACCGGCAGCCCCCTGAGGAGCATGGAGGAGGAACGTTCAGAAGATAATGTGGGGAGCTCAGGACAGCCCCCACAGAGGAGGGTGCCCCTCAGCCCTGCTGTGACCCCAGCTCCAGCTCAAATGTCATTCCTCCTTTATTCCTTCTCTACTCCAAGCCCTGCTTCACCTCTAGACCCAGCTCCTACTCCAGTCCCAGTTTAGCCCCCAGATCCAACTTCAACACAAGCTCCTCTGCTAAGCCAATTGTGCAGTAATAGAAGGGAGTTGTAGACAAATTCCATTGCTCATAAGGGGTCATATGACAGGAAGTTTGGGCACCCCTGCCATAAAGTTTAAGCAAATAAGAAGGTAGCACTTGTAATTGACCTATCAATGATACTCTTGCTGGAAACTAGGCAATATGGAAGGGAAAGGAGGAAACTTCCTGGCTGGAATCCAGATGGAAGAGGAGGGAGAGAGAAGGGGAAGAGATGCAAGGTGGGAAGTGGGGAGGAGAATAAGAGTGTTAGGAATGATGGAAGGAGGATAGAAGCAAGAGCTTTGGAGAAGAGCAGGAGGTGCAGGCACAGAACTGGAGAGGATAGGAGCTGGGGACTGGGAAAGAGGAAGGAGTCGAGGGGGTGGAGCGAAAGAGAGGAGATGATGATAGCAGCAGAAGGTGACAGGGAAAGGCTCCAGGAGAGATAATTAGGAGATCTGGTGGCCAGTAGAGCACCATTCCCTCACAGAACCTAAAACCGACCCCATTATTTGTTAGTATCACCGTTCACTTGTCAGAAAATACCTGTGAAACCTACTAGCAAATTATGACTCTCCATCCACCACTAATGGCAGAGCCACACAAAATATAACAGCCTTCTAATGTTACCTACGCACTCTGTTACTCAAGTTATGATGACTAGGGGATCTTTCACATGATGGTATATTTGTTTTATCGGTGTTTAAAGTTTTTATAAAATTAGGAAATTACATCAAAAAATGATATTTAGAGAGCATTAAGGTAACAAAGTCAAGCACTCAAAAGATAGCGCATACTTGAGTGCATACTTGTTTTTATGTGATTGTGTGTGTGTGTGTGCACGCGCGTGCATTTTAGATCAATCTCGGGTGTACCTATGTTGCATCCAGTTATGTCAGATAAGGAATCTGCTCCACATGTACAGGGTGTTCACTATAAGTCATCCCAGTATACATCCATTCCACACTATTGATGCTTGTAGGAACTGATGCATTATAAGTCCTCCTATTCAGCACTCTTACATCGTGCAAAAGAAAAAAACCCAATTTGCGCAAATGGAAGCTAGCCGTGAGGAAGAAAATTCCCTGCTTTAAGTTGTTTCACTAGGTCCAAGTTTTGTGGAATGTATCTTGGACTTAGAGCGAGGACCGACTGTATTTTACATGTCCTCCAGTAACTGGGGTATGTCTACACTACAAAGTTAGTTCGAACTAACGGACGTTAGTTCGAACTAACTTTCCTAGGCGCTACACTAGCGCTCCG